TTATTTTTTGGAATAAGGCGGGGGGGGGGGGGGGGAAGACAGGCTTTAGTCTTATATTCTCATTCTAAAGAGACCCATGCGTTTGCCTAATTCTACACATGGCAAGTAGTCTTACTAACATGAATGGGATGACGCACAGAATGTAACATTAAGTATAGGCATAAGTCTTCGCAAGTTCTATTAGCTAATCTAAGATATTTACATAACTCCCATTGCCCTAGTACCTCACTTCTCCCCCTCCCCCCAAAATGTACTTATGTACTCCATATGCCTGTGAGATAGGGAAATATCTTCATTTTACACGGAAATATCTTCATTTTACAGATGAAAAAGTGACACAGAGAAAAAGAGAAAGCGAGAAAGTGACTTTGCTCCAGGTCACAACACAGGAAGCCTGAAGAGGAGACAAACTGAATGTGGGTCTCCTGAATGCTTTCGCCACCGCCACTCTTCTGTATAGTTATATCTAATACCTGTATGATTAATAATAGAAAATCTATTATATCTGATACAGCAATATTGAACATTATGTCAGTTGATCAGAAACTGGAATCTGCAGAGGGTACCGTATATTCCGGCATACAAGACGACTTTTGATGTTAAAAAACATCCCCCAAAAATCGGGGGTCGTCTTGTACGCCGGGCATACATCCCAGGCGTGCCTGGGATGCCCCCCCCGCCGGCTTCCCCCGAGGCTTTGAGGATCCTACTTCTACTTCGCGGATTTTCATCTATCGCGGTAGGGTTTGGAACCTATCTACCGCGATAAACGAGGGTTCACTGTAGTTTATTCCTTCTATATTGGAAAAATGTATATGTGACAAATACACAGTTAAATAAAATCTAATTTTTCTACACAGATACTTGCATGAGTTCGCTTTTCTCTGGTTTTCTAGCTATAGATGCTGAATTACACTGTTAAGGAAACAAATTAAATAAGTTATAAGGCTATGTGATTCTATGCCAGCATTAAGATACAACAAAAGTGACACCGGAAATAGTATCAAAGTGGACAAATTTTCAGATGCTACTTTTTGTTGTTTTTCTAAGGCTTGTCAAAATGAGCTAACCTACAGATCTTTCCAAATACAGGCAGTCCCCGGGTTACATGGATCCGACTTACATCGGATCCCTACTTACAAACGGGGTGAGGCAACCCCGCACTAGCTGCTTCCCCCCCCAGCAGACCAGGGAGACGCGGAGTGGCTTTTCTCAGCAGACACCTCAGCTTGAGAATAAAGGACTGAGGGAAGTGAGATGTGGGAGAATAAAACTGAGCTCTGGAGAAATGTTTGGCTAGAGTTTCCCCTACAATATGTACCAGTTCCGACTTACATACAAATTCAACTTAAGAACAAACCTACAGTCCCTATCTTGTACGTAATCCGGGGACTTCCTGTACAGTACACATGTAGTACCACTGACATGCTGTCCCCTGTGATGAGAGCAGCAGCCAGACAGCATTCAGCTCACCAATGGGAAGGAAAAGAAAATATTTGTCAGTGATGCTGAAGAAATTGTACTATTAGTGCCACTGGGGTTTCAGTCAGAGCCCAGCAATGGAAATCCCCTCCCCCCCCCCATTCTCATGTAGTCCTGGGGGGCGGGTGTTTAGTTTTAAATCTCCTTCCTCTGAAGTATCAGGGATGGCTACAGCTGGAGCTAGGACAGGGAGGGTGTGACATTACCCAGCATACAATCTGGACTGCTGAATAACTGTTGTCTGAGTTCTCCACCCTATGATGCCTTTTATGTTGTTTTGCTGCTGAACAGTCATACCTGGCCAGGTAACATTCTGCACACAGCATGTAACTTCCACCCAGCTACCCCGTATTAATTGCTGCTAGCTGTGCAGCAGTAGCAGATTCTGTTTCCAGATTTTCCTCCAGAAATCTGCATCTCGTACTGTCAAGCACACTACTGAACAATGCAAGATTATATAACATCCCCCATTTTATCTGTGAAAAGTTAACAAGGCTGGTGCATATAATTTATGTCAAATGGAATTCCCCACACACTTTAATCCAAATACACTAATAAAATAAGGTAAGTTTAACTGCAGGAAAACAAATTTTAAGCAATTACTAGCGAGCTGCACCCTCTGCTCACTACGCTCACCCAACCCCCACTTGGCCAGGGAGGGCATGGGACTAAAGCCACCTTGGCTCTTTCACCTGTCCCCAGCTGCCAGGGGAGGACTTGGCTCTCTCTCACCCCTCTTTCTCTCCCCCCAATGATCCCCGGCCCTTTCTTGCCTCCTCCCCCACTCTTTTTCACCCCTCCTTCCCTTTCAGCCCAGCTGTTTCTTGCCCCCTCTTCCATACCAGCTCTCACTCCTCCTTGCCCCTCCCTACTCACTCACGACCCTTCTTGCCCCTCCTTATCCCCTTCCCAGTCCTCTTTCTTGACCCTCCCCCCCAGCCTGCCCCAGCTTTTTCTTGCTCCTCCCCCTGGCTTTTTCACCCACTCCCCGCCCTTGGGGAGGGGCTGAGGCCACACTGAACACCAGGGAGTGAGGAGCAGAAAGGTAGCACAACAGCTTGTGGCATCCACCTCCCTAGCTGGAGCAGAGGAGGGAGGATGGGGCAATGCTCAGCTCCCTCCCCTGGCCTTCCCCTGGCCAGCTGGAGCATAGGGGGGTAGGAGAAGAGGAGGAATTTGGGAGGGTGCATTACCACCCTTCACATTTCCCCCTGCGTATGGGCCTGGAGGAGCTGCAGCCGGTAGGGGTGTAGGCAAAGAGGCTGGTCAGAGGGGAAGCCCAGGCGGGGTGTGTGTTGGGCTTGGAGTTGGGGGTGTGGTGATGCAGTGTGACATGACATCACTGTCATCCCATAGGAAAAAATATTTTATATATAGAGAGAACTAATGATGCCTACAAGTTAGGTTTGGTTACAAAAGGAATAAAATTCAAGCTAATGCCTTACTTAATAAGCTAAGGAACTTTAAAGCAAACAAGGTTTTATCTGACTATATGCTTACAGGTTGCAATTTCAACGTGGTATGGTCCGGGTCACTGCTTCCCACATCTCCCTTTGGCTGCAGATGGTGAACTGGAGCCAATGGGAACTGTGGGTCTCCATGGCTGCATAGCTGGTAAGTAAACAAACCGGAGCTGCCCATTAGCAGCTCTCTCAGAATAGGCCAACAGTAAACATTGAGAAACACTGGTCTAGTCCAATAGAGCTTTCAGAGCAACATGTTACCAACCCTCCCAGTTTCACCAGGGCTGTGTCTACACTGGCCGCTTATTCCGGAAAATCAGCCGCTTTTCCGGAATAACTTGCCAGCTGTCTACACTGGCCGCTTGCTTTTCCGGAAAAGCAATGACGATCTAATGTAAAATTGTCATTGTTTTTCCGGAAAAACTATGCTGCTCCCGTTCGGGCAAAAGTCCTTTTCCGGAAAAACTGTTCCGGAAAAGGGCCAGTGTAGACAGCCCAGTAGTCTTTTCCGCAAAAAAGCACCGATCGCGAAAATGATGATTGGGGCTTATTTGCGGAAAAGCACGTCTACATTGGCACGGACGCTTTTCCGGAAATGTGTTTTTCCAGAAAAGCATCCTGCCAATGTAGACGCACTTTTTCCAGAAATACTTATAAAGGAAAACTGTTCCGTTTTAAGCATTTCTGGAAAAGGGTGCCAGTGTAGACTTAGCCCAGGGGTCTCCAGGATTTGGGCTCTATTGCCCAGAGGCTGCAGGAACCAATCCAGCAGATTTTAAACAACTTAAAAGTTTGGCTGCGCAGCAAGTCTAAGGCAGATTTCATATCTGCCCTGATCCTGTGTTCATCCCAGAAGGGGCCAGCACAACCTGGCACAGGGGGTCTCTAAGTGCTTGTGGGACCTGTGGCAGAGCATGTCTGTCCTAGGTCCTAGACCCCACATCCTGTTATAGACGACCCTGCTTATCAAACACTCCCACCACCGCATATGAATTCAGGTTCCTATTACATAGCTGTACTTTGCTCCTATCACAGCACAGGATTATTTAAATAGCCATTTGACCATTGCATATTATTGCCACCTACTGTTCCTGTTTCATTGCATTTTAAGTCGTGACTCCTTAGCTGTTTTTCAAACGGAATGGCGGAGGGCAAGACACAAATGCCTGAACGCGAGTTACACTTACGCTAGCAGGTGCCATAGAATAACAGTTCTACAGCACTCCACATGGACTCCTCCTGAGGGCCGAAATGGCAGTCTGGACCTCTACATAGAATGCTTCCGCCGACGTGCACAGGCAGAAATTGTGGAAAAACAGCATCGCTTGCCTGGTAACCTCAGTCGTGCAGAACGCAATGCCATCCACAGCCTCCGGAACAACTCTGACATTATAATCAAAGAGGCTGACAAAGGAGGTGCTGTTGTCATCATGAACAGGCCTGACTACCTAAA